TCCTTTGTTCCTGTAACTGATAATATTCACCTTGGGAAAAGAAGGTGCCAGCTATCCAAAGGTGACAGTTTAAAGAAATCCATCAGTGAATAAAAAAGTGATCTTTTAATTATATTTGGAAGATGGATTTCTTTTCATTTTCTGTAATTTCTACCCATCATCTCTCCACATTAATTTTAATTTTTCAGTTCAAATTCTATGGAATTTGGTAAAGGGACAGTGCTCCATTGGTCCACCAGCAACACACCTTTTTTTTGTTTTGTTTTGTTTTAATTTTAATTCTGTTCTTGCCCTGACTACCCCATCCCTCCACCTAGAAAGTACCTTGTGAGACACAGCACTGTTGACTTGACATGTCAGCCCTTTTTCCCTATGGAAAGAGTCCTGTAAAATCATCATGTGATGCCTGCTACAATCAGAAGGAGCAAAGGAAAGACCAGGGCAGAAGCTGCATTTACAAATAGGAAATAATACCCCCGGCCATATGACATAATCCTGGAATTAGTGACCCATCAAGTACAAGTCCCTGTAGCAGTTACATTTTAGTCTGACAAATGGCATTGCATAAAAACTCTGGATGTTTTCTGGAATAAATCTTGTCAGAATATAGTTTGTCCTGCCTAGATATATTTGTTTGAATGGCTTTTTAAAGGCCTTTTAAAGGCAAGGTTGGATGGAGCTCTGAGCAACCTGTGGAAGGTGTCCCTGCCCATGGCAGAGAGGTTGGAACAAGATGACCTTTAAGGTCCCTTCAAACACAAACTCTTCTGTGATTTTATGATTAAAATGTACATCATTGTCTTAAAGACATGTGTAGGGTATTTTTGGAATACTCTGAAATTTTAAGAGTACAAGAAAAAACTATAAGGAATACAATAAGACTACAGGAACCCTTATAGTAATAAGGCTGATTATAATACATGAAAGCATTGGGCTGGATTTATAAATCCCTGGATGCTTAAATCTTACCTGTAATACAGTTTGGTTCATTTAAGGTAGGTACTGTTTTTTGGGTTTATTATATATATATATATATATATACACACCACTAAAAGTTATACAAAGATAAAATAATAATTAATTCAGGCTCTTCTTTGCAATAAAACACAGAAGTGTTTTATTGCAATGTCAGTGTTTTATTGCAAATGCTGAAGTCAGTCCTGTACCTTCCCATGACACATCTACTTTATGGTATAAAGTAGCTCAATATTTAACTGTGGTTAAAACTGCTTCAGTGAGGGCTCACATTTAAGTGTTTTAATGTTTGTTTTTCCCATCATGAAGTAAAAACTCAAATGGTTTCTTGTTTAAAGCGAGGGGATTTTTGTTGAGTGGGTGTTTTCCAGAATTCCTCATAAAAGTAGTTTCTCTTTGGATCTGAGAGAAAAGCTTATAATCTATTTCAGTTTTTCCTGGGGAGAATTCTGAGTGAGTATAGGTAAAAAAAGGTTTTCTTCTCTAATGGAGAGTTAACATCAGATTTAGCCTGTATCAATTTTTCATCTGAGACTTCTCTGTGTTTCAAATGTACAAATTTTCCACTTGATCTAGATCTTCAGTCCTCATGCACTTTCCAGTGCTGCAGCCATTCTCAAGCTGAACTCAAGGCTCTCTCCCTAAAACCCCTCACATAAAGTTTTAAAGAACCTAAAGAAGCTTTGAATATCAGAAAAACTCAATCTAAGGCATTTTAGCCTTGTAGCACATCTTGCTTTGTTATGTTTGCACTGACACAGGGCAACTTGACTGAGATGTTTGCAGCAAGTTTCCACAATAGAGGTGCTATAAATAACTAAAATCCAGCTTGCCAAATTGCCTCATGGAACACATTTTTCTGTGGGGTGGTGGGGTTTTGTAAGAATTCTTCATTTGTTGTTCAGGCCTTCAGAAATGACGCTGCTGGCTTCTGAAGTCATGACATCTGGCACATAAACTCCATTTGGCACACAATTATCTCTGTGGTCATGTTCGTTTACTTTCCGCTTTGGGGATTTGGAGTTTTTATGTGCCAGCTTCTGGTTGTATCTGAAAGCACAGAGATTTCTAATATTATCATCCTCAATTTAGAGCTGAATCAGGGCTTTTTTAATACTGTAAAAAATATTTTTGTCCCTTAAACACCAAGGGAGATGCTGTCCTGGACACTGATCCTTCTTGGCAGCTGAAGGGTGCACAGGGAAAGGGCAGAGGGGAGCAGTTCTGGCAGCCTGTGCTGGTTCTTCTGCTGGCTCCCCCCTTCTCCAGAGCAGTCAGCATAGACCATGGGCAGGTGGCACCAGTAACCAGGACTGGGTTTTCTTTTTATTCTATTTTTTATTCTTATTATTCAGCCCAGACTTCAAGGAACTAATTTCCTTTACAGCTGAGATAAAATCAGGTTGATAATGCAGAATGGTTGCTTAATCCCTATTACAACACAGCCTTTCCTTCTAATTCTTGCCTGTTGTTTTAAACTTGAGTGGGAAGTTTGCATCCTAGACACCTTTATAGTACCTAGGACAATGGGATTCTGCTTTACACTATGGAACTGCTATGCTAGCTTTCATTTTTGCCACGCATACATAATAAATATCCAACAGAAAAGTATAAAATGCCACTCTGCAGCTATCCCCAAGTTTAGCACTGTTTAAAGCTGTGTTTGGCAAGTAGAGCTGAGACATTTCTTTGCATTCAAGAGTAGCTGGACAAGTAGAGGGCAGAAGCCAAATCTCTTTCCAGGCTATGTAACCCTGGGTGTGGTTAAAAGATGAATTAACTTTTAAATCCCTGTTGGTGTCAAAAAGGATATAATTCCCAGCCCTGTGTTGCTGTCTTCTCCCCAGCAGTTTAGCACTGCTCCCCTCCCCATGCAGCCAGCTGGGTTGGAACCTCACCCTGCTGAATCCTTTTTTAGGAGGGTTCATTCTTAGGTGGGCCATGATGTGAGCAGGGGAGACACAGGCAGCAGGAATGAACCTGAGGACGGGAGCAAATGGGAACTGCTGCCCCTTTTGGGTGGCAGCTTCATCTGAAACTCACCCAGTCATGCCTTTGAGCAAAACTGTCTGTGGGTGGATATTCATAAAGACAAGGAACGGGAAAAATGAGTGTGTCAAAGATAGTTCCCTATTTGGAAAACATCCTGATTTGGTTTTGTTCTTCTGTGCCATTAAAATGTGGCATGCAGGTCTCCAAGCTACATTTTAACCTGTGCGAGGGTGAGAGTATAAAAGTTCAATGTACCTAAATCTGTGCAGATGTGCTGACCATCAGCAATGATTTATGTTCAAGGTATATAAATCTGTGATGTGCTGACCATCAGCAATGACTTATGTTCAATGTACATAAATCTGTGCAGATGTGCTGACTCAGCACATCTGAGCTGAGCCTTTAGCACCAGCCCAGTAAGAGATGGAGGGGATGTGACAGAGGGAGGTGGAGTTTGAGTCCCCTTTGATGACATTAGAAAAAACCACAATAGTTCTCTGTGTTGCAATGTGCTTGGCATTGGTTTCTGTGTAGTTCTAATCTGAGAGCAAAAATAGTGCAGATACTTGCTTGCTTTGGCTGAGTCGGCAGATTAAGATCTCTTTTGTCTTTTCCATGGGGCTTTCCTGAAGGAAGTAACACAATCTCTGCAGACAAAGCGTTCTTGACAAGGTGTAAAACAAGCAGGGAAATTCTGGTTCAAGTGGCCACAGTCTCTGATTCATAGCAGGGCTGGGTATGGGGATCCCCTGGCACTCTGCAAGTGTTATGTGGCTGCTGCCTCATAAATTCCTGTCGTTTTGGGCTCTCTAAATCAGCCAGTTAGGGAACTTTGAGCAAAGGTATGTTTTGCGAAGTCTTACATTAATTTTCTCATTATGCTGGCTAAGTTTCCCTCATTTTGCCAATGAAAGTACACAAGAAACACCAAATAATTCTATTATTTTATATACATATGTATAAACTATTATTATTTATTATTACATTATTTGCTAAAAATTTATATTATAATAACATATGATATATAACATATGATATATATGATATATGATATATAATATATAATATAGTATATAGCATATATAATATAGTATATAGTATATAATGTACTATATAGAAATATTGATATCTATAATAAATATTATATTATATTGTATTGTATTATATTATATTATATTGTATTATATTGTATTATATTGTATTATATTATATTATATTATATTATATTATATTATATTATATTATATGTATTATATATTTATTATTTATTTATTTTATTATATTTATTATATTTTATTATATTCTATTTATTATATATTATATAAATAATAGTAATATTTAATAAATATTCTATATTATTATATTACTTGCTGGATATATATTTGCTATATATTTTCCATTATTTTAGCACTCACACCTGCAGAAGTACTACTTGTTTCTACCAGCCAGCATCATGGGACAGAGACACCATTGCAAATTACTCAGTCTTTACCTTGCCCTCTTTCCCCATATCTTTTAAGTTTGCAAATTTCCTGCTTTGTGCATTGCAGTGACACTCAGAATAGAGATGCTACCACTTGGTGGAATTAGGAGAAGGATCTCATTCCTGATTCTAGCCAAAGCTGACATGATTTAATGGAGGCAATATTTCTTTTAGAGGCATCAGAACTAACAGGGCTTTGGCTCTGCTCCTTGAGCAGTGCTGTAATCTGCTTGGAAGCCAAATATCTCAGCTATGAGGTATTTACTGTGTGGCTGTCAAACATGCTATAAACTTTGAGCTCCTACAACTAATCAGCATTGTACCAATGCTCTGTGTGCAAAAATAGCTGCTTTGGGCCCTTGATGTAAAAAAATAATAATTTTTTAAAGCCTGTTTCCATCAAAGTGTGATATTCTCCAATGTTGCTGTCCCTGGTTTTCTCTGTATGCATCAAAACCAATGGCTTAGTGTGGGGGTTTTTTGGGTTTTTTTTCATTTTTTACTGAACAGGTTCCTGTGAAATTATGCTTCTTTTTTCTTTTCTTTGTAGGTAACAGAGACTTTGCTCCTGGTGATCCATTAGAATTTAAGTCTCATCAGTGGTTTGGAGCCTCTGTGAGATCCCAAAATGACAAAATCCTGGTATGTCTTTGATGCCCTTCAGATGCATCAGTACTGAGATATTGCAGTGGAATACAATGTGAAGAGATCCAGAAAACTTAGGATTTAAGCAAAATCCCACTAATCAGCATGAACTGTCTTTTCTTCAGAATTTCTTAGCTAGGCTTTACTTCACTCCTTATAAACAAAGCTAGGAGCATTTTTTCTAGTTTTAAGGAAAGTAAAATTAGTTTGAGTTAGAATATGTTATAAATTCTTGATAAACACTTCACAGCTGTTGCTTTAAGAAAATATTGTTTCTAAAATTCTTGCTATAAATTAGCTATTTATAAAATACAAACTGATGGTAATTCTGCCCCACTGCTAATAGTATAATTCTTCTCTAATAACACAAGACACATCTGCCAGGTTTTTTGTTGCTTTTCTGTAGAAAAGTACAATTTCATTGTATTATTTGATACCCACCAGTATTTTGAAGAGGAGTTTGTTTCCTCACTGTTGTGTGCTCTTCCCTAGGCCTGTGCCCCTCTGTACCACTGGAGAACTGAAACAAAACAAGAGAGAGAACCTGTAGGAACATGTTACCTGCTTGCTGGGTCCAAATTTGTGGAATATGCTCCCTGCAGGTCAAGTAAGTGTAGGGTTCTTGGGTGGCTTTTCACTTTGGAATTCCTCTTGTGTCACATTTTTTGTACATTTTGGAATGAAATGTTTTACAGCTATTTCTCCCTTCCATATATAGCAATTAGAACAAAACTTAAAAACTAGATCCAGACACCTGAATTCTCCAATTGAGGTCATGATGCAGACCTTATTTACTCTACTGTAGGCCAGAGGAAAATCTTAGGTCCAAGGATCATTGGACCTTTAGGACTTCTGTTGTTGAAGGGACCAATTCTGTAGTAATCACTCAAGCAAAATTGTGTAGCAAGTGCTTTTTCAAAAAACAACTCTGGAATTCCTATGAAACTCAAGTATTTTATCATTATTCAAGTACATTAAGGTGCAAGCTCATTTTAAAAAGCAAGGTTTTGCAAAAATAAGTTCTGATGTCCCTGTGTGCATACAGATGTAGTAATGCATTGTTTAAATTATATAAACTGTTGAACATTTGGACTCCCATTTTCCAAATGCTTTGCATTTATTTCCTCTAGTTGGGCTGATAGATTATTTAGAAGTATATAACCTAAAAATTGAATGTTGAAGTTAGGATTGACTTTTTATTTGCTGAAAATCATTTGTGAACAGCAGGAATAAAATCCAGCCTGTTCCAACATAACAAGAAGTTAAATAATAAGTATTAAATTAAATCATGCTAGTTACAGAGTCACACTTTCAGATAAGTGGCTCCAGAATTTCTGTTCTGAAGCTGTATAATCCTAAAATGGATTCAGCAATAACAATTCTTGCTGAGATGAGTCTCAGTATGGAGACATATTTTCAACCAGGTATGTTCTTTTTGTTTTAAGTCAAATCAGCTTTCTTTTCCATACCAAAATAAAAAAATTATCCCCTCTTTTCCAAATATCTTATTTCCTGAATAGAAATTGCTAATGTATTTTCCCCAAGACTTTTGAAGATTAAACACAAAGGAAGATGGGGTTGCTCTTTGCTTTGAATGTGCTAGGCTAGAACATGTGCTGAAGTTACATGTCTGTTAGGCCAGCCCTAAAATTGTTACAGCATTTGCTGTAAAGAGGAAATACTGATTAAGTGCAAAAGTATTCCAAGGTTCAAGTTTAGGAGTGCAAGTTTACATAGAGAGATGCATGAAAAGTATCTGCAGTGCTGCAACTGATGGAGTACTGATAAAGAGGAGAAAATTAAATTAAGTGTTCTTTTCTATCCTTTTTTTCTTTGGTAGCAACTATTGATGCAGATGGACAGGGATTTTGTCAAGGTGGATTTAGCATTGACTTCACAAAGGTATGTGAGTTTTTTTGGTCATTTCTGTGGGTCAGCAGGCAGCTGATAGATAGAGCACTTAGAATAGCTCCTGATACAGAGCACTTAGAATCACAGCTATTATGAAACCAAATGTTACTTTTTCTGGTGGGGGGCTAAACCACAACCAAAAAAATTTATAAATAAACAAAAAAATAACTTGGAACAACTTAAGGAGCTTTTATAGACCTGTTTCTCCCAAAATCTTCAGAGCAGAAGACTTTCAGCTCTTGCGGGAACCATGTCCTGAACAAATGATCTGCTTTCCCAGATACCCTCTGCTGCAGCTGGCCCTCAAGTGGATTCAGTGTGATAATCAGGATTTTTGAGACCTGGGATTAGTGTTATAGCTATTGTCACAGCTATTGTTATTTCTTTAGGAATGACAACTCAGGAGCTGGTAAACAATGTGCTTGTGAATCAAATTTCATTTCTCATCAGCCAACAGAAGTACAGGGGTGTTTTACTGACTTGTGTCTCTGCTGTGCTCTCCCTGCCTGTTCTAGCTCTGTTTTTTTTTCAAACTCACAATTACTTTTGAATTCCAAGCACAGTAAAACTGTGCACAGATCTGAGAAGGCACTGTGGTGGTTTATGCTGTGCAGTGAAATGGTTGGGCAGAGTCAGGACGTGTTGAGACCACGCAAGCCCTGTTTGTGCTGTGGCTCTTTTTTTGGGCTCTCACATCTCAGGATGAGGTCATATCCCATCACTCCTTGCCTAGGGCCACTCTTGGATTTCCTCCAGAGGACACTGCCAAGTGCAGGAGAGGGCTGTGAGTGTTTGGGTTATTTTGCACACACCCTCAGGGTCACTGTGCAGATTCCAGGCCCAGTTAAAACCAGCTTTGGGCTCTAATCCAAAACCTTAGAGTGGGCAAGCCAGGGTGTATCTCCAAATGTCTGACCTAGATTTTTCTGAGTGGTGAATACAGGAGTTTTTGGGATTAAAACCTGAATAAGTGGTTTAATTATGCGGCAAAGTCTATGGCCTAATTCAATACTTACTGAGCAAATTCCCAACCCTGGGATAGCTAAGGTGGTTAAAGTTTCATAAAAAGGTTTTGTGAATTGCAGTTGTGCCAAGAAATACGGAGTGGGGGAATTACATCACAGTTATTCTGAATTAAGTTTTTCTAGTGATAAGTTACAGAAAATGGCAGAGGCAGAAGATGACACTGTTTTGTGTACTGACCCCAAAACCATGATGTAACACTCTGAGTTTTCTCCCAATTGTGTTCCTGTTGCCATACATTTATGGGGGAAGAAGGGTCTATTAAAATAAAAACAAAATTCTGCCTAGAATTCTAAATGGGTGAAACAGTCACTGAAGGTTTTTGTTAGCATTTTACAGGATGCATTTCTAATTAATCACCCCTTCAGAAAGGAAAATATGTGATGGTCAGCAGAGCTACAGTGATGTACATGTGTGGGATTTCTTCCCACAAACATAGGGTGTGCTGTCTGGCTTTAGATGTGCTTCATGTGTTTTTAATTTTTCTCTCTGTCTTCCTTTTTTTCTTCCCTTCCAAGGGAGACAGGGTGCTGCTGGGAGGACCTGGAAGTTTTTACTGGCAAGGTGAGAATATAATTTGTGTCACAGAGAAGATGGCCTTTATGATTTTTCTCGTTATCCTCTCAGTCATTTTGATCCACAGTCTTCCAGCTGCTGTCAGAGTCTTTGTCAGTAAGAAAACTGACAGAAATGTTCCTTTGTCCTTAAGAATATCTCCTGAATAATCAAGGCAACCACAGATAATGGTTGTAGCAGTAATAGCATAGATGTCCTTTGTGTTTTAAATAATTCCATGATCATTATAAAAGCGTTTTCCTGGCACATGGGATTTGTTTTCATCAGCAGAATAAGTTTCCTTCAGCATATTTTGTTTTGCTATGTACATTGACAAACAAAGAGTGCATTTTCAGTGAGAAATATTCCCTCTAAAGAGAATTTCATTGTTTTCCTCTGATGGCAAAGATGTTTTGCATTTGTCTTAATTGGTTTGTGCTGTGGGGCACATTTTACCTCTACCTGGCACTACCTGTGTACTTTACTCCTGTGGGATTCAGGATTACTCAGCCTTTACCTGCAGCTCTCTGTTCAAAGGAGGTGCTGCTGTAATCAGGACACAGCTGCCAAACTCTGCTGCCTGCTTTTTAATGGAGCTTCTAACATTTATTAATAGATTTTCTGTATCATGCCAGCCTACATGTAGGTGCAGCAGCACAGGAGGCTTGCTCCAGTCCTGTGTTTTAAATTGCAAACAAAATTGAATTATTAAAGCTAAACTGCAGATGCAGTATCATATAAATTAGGTTCCTGTATTCATTTTATTGCTTTTTTGGCAAAAGTGAAAATTATCTGCCAAAACAACCTTGTCCTCTTTTACTACTACCAAAAAAGCCCATTTGGCTCTGAATAGAAGACAATAGTATGCTTCTGAAAAGAAGATTTTTCATCCTAAACTTTTATTCCACATGCTGAGATGCTAGAGGAGGATTTTCCCCTTCACTTCACACACGTATGAATATGTATGTGAAGTATGTGAATATGTATTCTGAAGGGGTTTTTTTGGTGATTCAAGCTTGAATTTAGACTCGAAGAAAAGAATGTAAAGGAGTCACCACCTAGTGGCTGATGAAGTGAAAATGGAGAATGTGGCAATACACTGTGCTCATCTCATTTTTGTCCATTTTATTGGTTTCTTGTCTGCCAAAACAGGCTCTCCTGTTGTGGTATCTGAGCAAGGAGCGCCCAAAGGGCTCAGTTCTGCATAACCATGACTGTATAATATCTCACCCCTGCCTTTTAAGTCCTGACTTAATTTGGCCTCTGTTTTCAGTGAGAACTCTGTGTGTGCCTTTGATTCAATGTGTGAACATGTTTTTGCTGGAGTGGGATCCATATTTTCACTTGTGTCCTTCCTGGTGCTGCTGGAGCTGGCCCCTTTTGGTTGATGTTGTGGAAGTGCCACTGCTTTTGAGGGCAGCGAATTCTGGTTGTGGATTTCAGCTCTTTTCTCTCTCTTTAGGCCAGCTGATTTCTGACAGAGTGACAGAGATTGTGGCAAAGTATGACTCCAAAGTCTACAGCACCAAGTATGATGACCAGCTAGCCACCAGGCCTGCCAGTGCTGCTTTTGATGACAGCTACTTGGGTGCGTGGTGGGAAACCAGAAACCTCCCCCTGCAACACTCCCTGCCAACATCTAAATCACACAACTGGCAATTCCACATCTAACAGACAGCAAGGCAGTGAATTCCTGAAAATGCACTCATTTATGTATGATGGAACTGTAGTTATTTATTGCTTACTCCCTGCCACTTGCTGGTGCTTACATCTAAATCACACAACTAGCAATTCCACATCAAACAGAAAACAAGGGAGTGAATTCCTGAAAATATACTCATTTATGTATGATGGAACTGTAGTTATTTATTGTAGTTATTTTGCCATTTTTTTGATTCAAAAAGCACGTGATGACAAAATAAATGGAAATATTTTCATGATTTTCTGTGCTCTGTGATTCACGCTGAATATGGGAATGGCAAATGCATGATTTTTATATGAGAGGTTAGTCACATAGGTGGTTGGTTGTTTGTTTGTTATTTAAAAGCAGCTGTTTCTAAATAACCTACAAAAACAAAATAAAAACGTTAAAGAATTATGTTTTGGAAGAAAAACAATGAGCAGTGGGAAATCATAATTTTCCTTCGTGTATGTCTAACCAGACTCAGGAAAAAAGCAAGGATATACCAGGAAAATTCTCAGGATGATAATTTTAAAATTTTCATTTTCTGATCTCAAATTCCTGGTTACTGATGAGTTACAGCTGGAGCTGTAACTCATCAGTATTCCTGGAGCTCTTCATAGTCTAAGCTGCTGCAAGGAATATTTATAACAGTGCATTTTAAGGTGAAGAGAAGAGGACTGTGCACAGAGACACTTGTGAAAAGTGTAAAGAGAGATGAAAGGTTCAATAAGGTTCTTAAAGCCTCATCTTGTCTCTGCAGGTTATTCAGTGGCTGTTGGAGACTTCAATGATGATGGCATTGAAGGTAAGCCCCTTGCTTCAGTAAGAACATCATGTTAATAGGGTGGGCAGATTTTTCAAAACAATGGTACAGTGCACAGAGAAATGAATCAAGTGCTAGGAATGAGCTCCTCTGTTCAGCAGTCACTGTGCCTTGGGATCTGACTGTTATCTGTTCTTGCTTTGTGTTTCAGACTTCGTGTCAGGAGTCCCACGGGCAGCAAGAACTCTGGGCATGGTAAAAAAATCTGAAACATTAACCTTTACAAAAAATAAAAAAGTGTGATTATTGCTGATATGCTGTAATGTGTATTTCTTCACGTGCAGGTGTCCATTTACAATGGGAAAAACATGTCCTCCATGTACAACTTCACTGGAGAGCAGGTGGGTGGCTCTGCTGGCTGTGGTGGGTGACCAGCAAGACTTTCCTATAGTGCAGTATTTAGAGTACTAGCAGTATTTAGAGTACTAGATGATAGTCTGCATATTGCTGGCTTGATTGCCAAAGCAACATTTTATGAATTCTGATGGAATTCTAATCTTATTTAAATAAAGGAAATGCTGCCTGTTTTGAGAGCTGGGAAAGAGCTGGATCATGAAAGGGGAAATGGGAAAAGTAACCAACATGTTTACTTTCTAAGAGTATGGAAGAGGAACGAAAAAGAAAGGAACAAATAAAATTTGTGGCATATGTTATCATCTCCCTGATGTATTTTGTGTTCAGATTTGTGTAAAGTTGTTTGTTTGTATCACTGCAACTCACAGGTTTGGTTTGAATGTCGTTTTCCAGATGGCTGCCTATTTTGGGTATTCGGTGGCTGCCACAGATATTGATGGGGACAAGTAAGTCTTCTCTATCTTCTCACCAATGCCACCCAACTTGCTTCTGGAAATTAAAAAATACCTTTTATTAGAAGGTCTTTCCCACAATCTAGATTTCTGTCTTCATTGCTGGTTTAACACATCTGCACAACTCTTTTGCTAACACTCCACATTTGTTTTAACATTTGTAGGTTTGCTTTTGCATTTATCTACATAAATACATGTGTATATTCACATGCTTAAGGTCCGTTAAATTTTTGTATATTTGTGCTTACTTGGTCAATAAATATTTGCTTTCAGTTGAATTTAAAGGTAGTTAGCTTTCATCTGAGTGTTGACTTCAGTGCTGAGCTCACAGTGCTGAAGAGAATGAGTTCTCCTGCTGCTGCTGAAGAGCTCTGTCCTGTTTTGGTCCAGTTACACAGATCTGTTTATTGGAGCCCCTCTTTTTATGGATCGAAGCTCAGATGGGAAGCTTCAGGAGGTTGGCCAAGTAACCATCTGCCTTCAGCGAGCCTCAGGATGGTTTCAGACAGCAAAGCTGAATGGCTTTGAGATCTTTGCGCGGTTCGGGAGCTCCATCGCGCCCCTGGGGGACCTGGATCAGGATGGCTTCAATGGTAGGATGTTGATTTGTGGTATTCACAAATGAAAAAAAAATTCTCTGAAAAAAAATCTTTTGCCAAGGATTATTCTTCTGGGAAGCTGAGAAGCTTCAGAGAAAAGGAAAACAATTTCTATCTTTTTTGCTTTTCCTGTGTTTTGCTCATGTGGAATGTGTTTGGAGATTGTTTACCCAAAGGTGATTGCCTGGTTTGGATTCTGGTGTGAGCTCTTTTAACTCTGGCCAATTGGAGCCAAACTGTGTCAAGATTTTAGAAAGAGTAATGAGTTTTCATTATTATTTTTTTAACATTCAGTAAGTATGCTTTCTGTATTCTTTAGTATAGTTAGAGTTAGTATAGTATTCTTTAATATATAGTATTATAAAGTAATAAATTAGCCTTCTGAGAACATGGAGTCAGATGCATCATTCCTGCCTTCATTGAGGCATTCCCTGCTAATACAATATTGATTCTTGATCAGGATCTCACGGATGTGGAGGGTGATGCCACATGTTTTAGCTTTTATATTTTTCAGATTCTGTGCTGCTTTAGTGTGTAATTCTGAGCTTCATATTAGAGCATGGTAATGATTCTTTCTCTAGCTGGGGACCAAAGACAAATGATCCAAATCCCAGGCCCAGGAGCACAAACAATGTGAACTGAAGAGAGAAAAACAAGAAGGATAGGACTTCATGGGCTAAAGCTATAATTGAACAATTAGATCCAATATGCAAATGGACCAGAACTTATAAAAGTGAGAGACCCCGTGATCAGTGTCCATTTTGTGACCATTTTGGTTCACCTTGGGTGTAGCCCTGGCTGGGCTCTTGTGCTGCCCAAGGTGCATCCGTTGGGGCCTCCTGATAAATCCCTACTTTAGCCCAGCCTAGTTGCTGTTCTAGGCCAGCCTGCACAGGGCACCAGGGGAGCCCAGCCAGCACAGAGAACGTGGATCCTGCTCACAAACCCTCAGCGCTGTAGCCGTGAGCGAGTGAGGGACGCTGAGGTTTAGACTCCCTTCGATGCTTGTGTGCTGCTCCCAGGAATGCCAACAGGAGTTCCATGGATGCATCGAGCAGAGACTATACCACTGACACAGCATGGACTGCTCTAGCTCTCACACTGACCACCTGATTGTTTTCTAAGCCATGACCACAATGGAAACTTCAATAAAATACCTGACCCTCCACTGTGACCTGCTAGGACATCTTCAGTATAATTTTCCTCCTTCCATTGTTTAAAGACCATTTTCCTCTCTAGAGACACAATGATGACAGAAAAGAAGGTTTGATTTCAGATTGCTGCTTAAAAATGTTCATATAAAGAAGATCTTCCTAAGAAAAGAGTAAGATTTGGTTTTTAAAATTTATAATTCAAAATGGAAGAGTTTGGTGGAAATACTGCATAGCAGCTACAGCCAGAAGAGCTGAGTGTCTTGAGTGAGTAATTGGAAGAGAAGTTTGAGTCTGACACAACTGGAGCTGAGACTCTCCCTTCCCCAAGCTTCTGGTTAGTTTCTGATAGGAACGAAAAACAATAAAGCAGACAAGAATGACGTAGTGTTGGGATGGAGATTTCCAGGAATCCTAGGGAGAACATTTTTTAATGCCCATTATACTCCAGTGTTGCCTAAAGAGTAGTGGGAATTTGAATTCCACCAAAAAAATCTTCATTTTTTCCACTCTGCTTGCAAGCTAAGTATTTTCTCTTAGATTAAAAATTACAATTGATGGTTACTTCAAATTCCCAGGTAGCTCTAATTTATTTTTGATGATAATTTCACAATGTAGTTGAAACTGAAAGAGACTTTTTTAGTTGCTAACTGGACATAGAATCAGTGTGTAGATGTAATATCACTGCAACTATTTACAGAAGACGTCAGAGAGCTGATTGCCAAAATTCCAGTCACTTGATGAGATTATCCCAAACATTGTTTGATTCCGCCATACTTACATTTGAAATACACTGTAGGAAAGAGAATCATGGCAAAAGGTGCCTCTTTCAAATGGCTTTGCTGTTATTTAGTCTGTTTGTTTTGGGTTTTATTGCTCTGCCTCATTTGGGAGTGTTAATTAAAATGCCTTCCATCACAGTATGGTGCAAGATAGGAATTTTAACTGTCTTCCTAAGTTTTTACATAGGAGTTTAAAATACAAAACTAAACTTTTGAGTCCTTATTATTTTCATCAAATTTTCCCAAATTTCAGAAGAGAGGAAGGAGAAACATAACTATTCCAAGTAGTGCTTCATGTTGGGTCTTTAAACTGTCTGTGGAAATGTTGAAATTAGATCACATGTGCACTTTTAAAGCTGTCCTCACAGATAGTCTAATTAGCATTTTGTTTCCTACCGTTTATTAATCATTAACAGTGCATACTTTTAAATTTAAGAGATAGAATAACTGCACTAACTGTAAATTCTCCATAAAGCATGCTGGCAAGCTATGGGATAGTCTGGATTTTAATATTTACCATTGGTTTAGGATGATTTAAATTTTCCAGAATTATTAATACGTCCCACCCTTTGGAGGAACATGAGCATGTAAATGAAATGGGAAGAGAGTCACACTTAGCTTTGTGGTTTGGCACCCACAGTGACTAATTCTGCTTGTTTTAATAATCTCAAAAGCATCCCAAATCCATATGATTTCACTGCAAAACAAGTCACCAAAGTGGAGAAGTTTTTGTAGAACTATTTCTCCCCTTGCTCTCCCCATATAAGGCTGTGGCATGTCATTGTTAAAGATTTATACTTCATACAAAAAACCAGCATCCAATAATAAAAGAAAAAACAGGACAAAGGAAAGAAGTAGTAAACAAACAAATGTTGATGAGCATTTTAAGGGCTGGTTGCACTTCCTCCCTACTTACAAGTAATAGTTGCCTCTTTGAGCCTCTTATAAGCTTTTGGTAGTCTATTACTTACTCAAGATAGCTCAGCTGCTTTTGTAGGCATAAAATTAGCAAGACAGCTTCTGTTGCAGCGTTAGAAACAAAAAAAGTTTAATAAAAGGCAAAGAACAAATAGAGAAGAACAGAGTTAGGTGCAAGAAAGCTTTTGCTCTTGGTAAAACACCTCACAAAAGCAATCAGTTTCTTTGTTCTCTTCTTTTTCTAGTGAATTGCTTAGACACTTTTTGGCTTCTGTCTAATTAGCTATCTTTAAGTTTGAGGTGAAGTCTTCAAAGTCTTATGAGGTGTCTTAGAGAGAAACTTCTAAGCTTCTTTTCCTTTTTGAGAGGACAAAAGACAGTTTTGTCACTCTGTCAACAAAGAGCACATTCCTATCCTGACACACACTGAAACTGTAATATCAGAAATTATTGATTGATGTAAGCACAAACATGTTCTAATTTGCGTCTGGGGACGTTGATGACTCTTCTTTTGGTTTGCAGACGTTGCAGTTGCCGCTCCATATGGTGGAGAGGACAAGAGAGGGCTGGTGTACATCTACAACGGAGGAGCGAGTGGTTTGAATGCCATCCCATCCCAGGTCCTGGAAGGGCAGTGGGCTGCTCGCACCATGCCCCCCAGCTTTGGGTACTCCCTGAAAGGAGCCACAGATGTAGACAAAAATGGATATCCAGGTCCTCTGCCCCCAAATGGCACTTTGCAATAACGCAGTAGCAGCCTCACCCTTGAGAGACAGCCTATTTCACAAAGCAAGGTGTAATGTGTGGTGTGTCTCCTCTCTTTCTAGACTTGATTGTTGGAGCCTTTGGTGTTGACACAGCTGTTCTGTACAGGTAAGGGTCCCTCTGTGCTTGACCCTGAGTGAAAGCGCAGTGGGGTTCTGGAGCTACAAAAAGAAGCAGGATCAGGGAAGTCTGAAAATTTGGCACTCCACTGTCCAAACCTCTGGAGGAGAAAAATCACTATACTGCTTTTATTAATGAGTGAAGCTCTCTGCTGCCTGAAATTCATCTTTCTCAATAATATGTAGTCAGGAAAAAACATTAATAAGCTGTCTTCAAGGCTTTCTGAGTGACAGTTTTCTAGATTCTGACACAACAGTTTTCCAGATTCTGACACAGCAGCTGCAAGCTATTACACTGCAATCCCAATATTCTCATCCCAACTTGCTCATTTTGGGAGAACATGTTGGTCTGTGTTATAAGTGGATAGGACTTCCTCTTTACACAGTTGTCCATGTTGTGGCTGATGGAAATGAAAGGGCACAGAAAAGCTTCATCTGGTCAATGGTTACTTGTTTTTCTTGTGGTTTCACTAAATACTGTGTGTTTGTGTATATTGCACAATTTGATGGGGGGGCATTCGAGTGCTCTTCAAGAGGATGTTTTCTTTGCAGGGCAAGACCAGTTATTAGAGTAAATGCTGCCCTGGAAGTTAATCCAACCATTCTAAACCCAGAAAACAAAGCCTGTTCACTGGGAGATGTAAAGGTTTCTTGGTAAGCAGAGTTTCATGTTTTCCTTTGAGGGGAGGGACTTCGTGGGTTCTAATTTTGTAAATTTCCAATTTTGAAAGGTCTTAGGAAGTCTAGTCAGCTAATTAAAAAAGAAAAAGACAAACACAGATTTTTCTGAAAGAACAGACAGTACAAAATAAGAACTCTCTGACAGCAGCTGGAGGACCAGCACTGTCTTTAGATGCCAGACTGAGTCCCAAAACCTGTCCTTTTATTAACTAATTAATTAATTAATTAATTTAATTTATTTTATTCATTGCTGAGCAGAGTAAGGTCTTCCCAAGACATCAGCACATCCCATGGCATTTGCAGTGGTTTTACCCACTAATATACATACACTGGGGCAATGATCTGCTCTGTAAACTGATTTTGCTTCTGATTCCCAGGCTATTATCCAAACCCATTTTCCCTTCCTACTGCTAACTTTCATTTCAGGGTCAGTATGATAGGTTTATAAATCAGACCCATCTGAATACAGAAATAAACATTCCTGTCCACAGGTGATTGTCTCTAGATAAGCCAAGACTCCAGAACTTTGTAGTTTCTGCAATTCTGCCTACTTGTTAATAGATTATAGTTCTCTTCCATCAGTAGAAAATAGCTTTTGGGAATGAGCTAGAGTCTCAAAAAGAATATACATCTGAACAGAAATAAATAGTGAGGAGTTTTAGAAGAAAATTAGAGAAAAAGAGTGTGAATTTTTTTTTCCTCCCAAACAGCTTCAAAGTGAAGTTCTGCTTAAAGGCAGACGGCAAAGGAAAGCTCCCCAACTCGCTCAGTAAGTTCTGCTCATTTAAAAATTGGAATTTTTCGTTGTATTGTTTGTAAACGTGAACACTGGTCATTGTTATTTTCATGACAAACAGCTGGGTGCCCTTTGCAGCCACTGCTGCCACTGGGGTGGCATGTACATCCATGGGACTCTCCAGCAGGCTCTTTTGGCTGAAGCGATGTAGAAGTCATTTCACCATATCTGAGACTCCAAACATATGTTCAACTCTGTGGTTAACCAGTCTTGGAAAGGCCTTTGTATTTTACAGAATTTACAGTAACTCTCATTGAGGGGATTTTCAGACAAGAATATTCAAATATGTGCATTGCTGAGCCTGAGAGATAGAGACAAGCCAGAGGGAACTTGTCACATCCTCTTGAGATCTTGACTCTCTGATTGATATCACTGACTTTTTTCATCAGATTCTCAGATCACAATCAGGAAAAGATTGTTTCAAACAAGTGTTTAAGTTGTGTCCAAGAGATTATTTAGTGTGGAAGGCAGGTAGTGTCTACTCATTGCAAAATCTTTTCCTTATTTTCTGTGACATGTACAGAGGTGGTGTGATCTTGGACAGAGGCTCATATGAATATCTGTTATGCATTGTAAGTTTTATTATATATATGAAATATTTCAAGTAATTAGCTTAGCAATAGCATTTAAAAATACAAATATGTGCAACATTGCTTTAAATTTTCTAGGGGAAAAAATTTAACTCTAGATCTTGCAGTTCTACAGCAATTATAAATTATAAATGTATCTGTGTTCTTAGATATTTCCAGTGTTTAAGGAAAAAGCAGAATCCAATTTAGGACAGCAGTAGTGCTTGAGATCTAATGTAATGGCAGATTTTACATGGAAAGAGCTGGAGGTTTTAAGAGAGGCAAGCACTATGTTTGTGTTGTAGTTGAAATCAGTGTTCAGCTCCATTTCTGATGGAATTCTGCACTGTGGTTAATGGAATGAAACATCCCTAACCCAAACCCTTTGTCTTGGCCAGATTTCCAGGTGGAGCTGCTGCTGGACAAGCTGAAGCAGAAAGGAGCCATCAGGAGAGCTCTGTTTCTGCACAGCAAACAGCCCAGCCACTCCAAGAACATGACCATTACTAAGGGGGGCAAAATGAACTGCGAGGAACTCGATGCCTTCTTGAGGGTGAGCAGCCATTCATGTTTCAGGCAAATAATTTTTGGTGCTTTGTGTATTATAAGTTCATTGTGTTGGGTGTTTAAAGAAAAAACAACAAGAAAAAAAATGCTAGAAAAACTTTGTTTTCAGTGGATGGACCTGAAATTACTAAAAGCATACATTTGTCCTGAATTACTGCTGCTGTCACAGCATGAATGATGCATCTTCTTGTGGCTAAGTTCCTGGTCCCTAAATGCATTGGAAATTCAATTCAGGACTTTGTTCTGGACTTCTTGGATAAGCCATCCAGACACCAAATTAGTTACAATTTCCAAGGAACATGACAGTCAATAAGCAGAGGTTGTCCTCTCTGCTTTGGAGGTTAAAAATTGAAGAAAAATATGGACCTGCAACTGACAATCCACAATAAGCAAACGGCAGAGGAGATGAAGAAATTTGAAGTACTAAGTTTGCTTTTTCTCAGTCTTTCTGTTTTCATCCCCACAAATGTGAACAGATGCTAACAAATTAAAAAAATTTAATCAGTAGAAGAAACATTGTGTGTAGCTATGTAAGTTCTATGCAGCTCAGATTTATCTCTGGGCACTTATAAATAAAACATAAACAATACTTGCTTCCCACTAAAAAAAAAAATAATACAAATGCTGTCAATCTTTAGGGATTCATGGAGAGTAGGTAATACGTTCTTTGACCTGACTTTTGTGAGTGGGTTATATATGTAATTAGACATCTCAGATCTCTGGGTTAGTAAAGATTTAGCACATTTCCACCTGATATTTTCATAAAGAAAGTAATGACCTATGTGAAATGATCATAAATGGGATGCAAAACCAGTTTAAAACTATAGGTAATCAATAAGTTTCTTCCCATAGAAGGTATTTTCTGCAACAAGATCCTGAAGTGAGCTCTGCTAGAGTCAGTGGTTTTCATTGCTCTCAGAGAGGAAGCAGAGTTTACACTGAGCAAATCTGTGGCAGATGTAAAGCTAAGAGATGTAGGTTTGTAAGTTCTCTGAAAGGCAGGATCAACGTTTGATAAGCAGAAAGATTTCCAATGAACAGCATCAAAGTCAGCAACTTCCAAGTGCCAAGTAATAATTTCAGGAAGGAAAAATTGTAAATCCAAAGATGATTATCTCTGAGGGATCTTAGAAGCAGACTGATGTTGGTCTGACAACAAAGAGCAGAGCTGTGTAGCCTTTAGGCTCTACTGGGTTTCCATGACTTAATATTTCTGTATGCTCCAGTTTTCCATGTTTTAAACAGGCATGTTACTGCTGAAATTGTGCGGGTTTTCTGACAAGAGTTTTTCTGCTTTGAAAAGAGCTCAAAAGTTTTAATGTTTTGGCCTCTCCATTTTTACTACATTTGAGTTGTGATTGAAACCTTTGCTTTCCCCAGGATGAATCTGAGTTCAGAGACAAGCTGACTCCCATCACCATTTTCATGGAATATCGTCTGGATTACAAAACAGCTGCAGATGCCACAGGACTGCACCCTATCCTCAACCAGTTCACTCCTGCCAACATGAGCAGACAGGTACCCTGCTCACACTGCCTGGGATCAGGGAACTCAGAGCATTGCTTCATCTTAGGGAGAAAATCAGACTAGTCCTGCAAGAGTTAATAGTCAAGGCTTTCATCCCTTCTCATGCCATGCTGCTCTATGTACATTATGTTTTCCCCTGTAGTTCTATTAAGCTAATATAAATAGTTTTTCTATTTCTGCCCTTTTTTACAAATTTTTACAATTGTTTGTAAAGAGCATTAATCCCTTAATATGAAGGGATTATTCAAAGTATGGAAAGATGGTTAAGATGAAGTCCTAGAATTGCAGTAGGGCAGGATGAGGCACAGTGACCTCCACATATAGAAACTCATTTGTTTTCTTCTGAGACTGATGGCATGAAAACATTTCATAACCAGCTATGTGGAATTTCTTTTAATATGCTGGTGAAACAGTACTATTGAAGATGTATGTCAGAACAAATGAAGGAATTATTACAGCAGTGTGTGTTTGATTTTTGCATAGGCCCATATCCTGCTGGATTGTGGGGATGATAACATCTGCAAACCAAAGCTGGAGGTGTCAGTAGAAAGGTAAATACATGACAAAAATACAAGGAAAAGCAATTTCCCTACCTGAAGTCTAAAACTCAATAGCTGGTACTACTTTTATTTAATGGATCTATTAAAATAAGCAGGACTCCTCATTGCCTGCAATCTAAACTCAGGCTTATATGCCTTAAAGAAAACCCATTTTCTGCTTTAGAACCTAATGTCTTTAGCATGTAATGCACCACCCCCATTCTCACCCCAGCCTCCACTATAAGTAGGCCATATTTATTTATTTATTTGCTAAGCTGGACACGTGCAGTGAGAATAAACCACTGCTAGCTGCCATTGTATCTCTGTTGAGTTGTTTAATGTTAGATAGACACATGAAGAAGTGATTTATCCAGCAAGGGAAGGAGTAGGGCTCTCTTGTCACATGTATGAAAAAAAAATTGTTGGTATTGGCAGTATCTTTTATCAAACCTGAAAAAAAGAAACAATTTGTCAGTGGTAATTCATTCATGAGTCTGAGTTTTTTTTTTTTACTTTGTGTGGCCTAAACCCTCTCTTGCTGGATTATTTCATAATCTGTTTTTTAACGCATTATAGCATATGGACATTGTATGTAGATAGGACACTTCACAAGAACTAGTTCATGCAAACACCTCAGTAACACTTGACATCAGTGCAGATACCCTGATGTATGCTTGTAGCTGGTGAAATGAAAACACTTTGTTTGCCAAGATGGTCTCTTTGTGTCTGAACCAAAGGTATTGCAGAGGTCTTGGCTCTCTTCTGTGTAGCTGAGCCTTCCCTTGAGTTTTGTTATAAATATGTGCTTGTACCTCTGCAAAGTGGGCCTGTAATTCAAAATGTGCACGGGGATTTAGCTGCTCATAATGGATTGTTCCAAGTGAGAAAAAAGTGTTTGTGGTTTTTTGTTTTGTGGTTTTATAGGCACGATTCTTATAAAAGAACATATAATACTTGCTCCATTTGTACTTACTTGATCCATGTAATACTTAATCTATTTGATTATAGACAGAGGGTTTTTTAAAAATATTTTTGAGCTCTCTTGACACTCCTGAAGCAAAGGCACTGCCTCCAGAGTTCTCTGATATCTTTCTGAAATTTCAGCATGTTTCTCATTTCTCTAAATTCAGCCACCTCCCTGCAATCTGAAACCCCAATGCAGAGCTGATTTTCACACCGTTTCCTTGCAGTGACCAGAAGCAGATCTACATTGGTGATGACAACCCCCTGACCCTGATTGTCAGTGCCCAGAACCAGGGGGAGGGAGCCTATGAGGCCGAGCTCTTTGTGCTGGTTCCTCCCCAGGCGGATTTCATCGGCGTCGTCCGCAACAACGAGGTGAGACCCCAGCTGCTTCTCAGGAGTCATGCTTCACCTGCTGCTCTGGAAATCTCTAGTGGCTCCTGTTATTTCAAAGCACTGAGAAATGATCCATTTTTTCAAAGCCCTTCTCTTTTATAACCTTGAAAACAGGTCTGTCTTGTATCAGAAACATTTTTTCTCCTTGGAGACTTCCACACTCAGATTTTATGTCATTTTATTACTTGGCTGAGAAATGATATTAAAATTAATACAGCGTATCTAGGACTTCTCTCCAGCCTTTCATCCAGGTGCTCAGATGTAAAGAATGGCATTCCTTAGTGTTTCTTTCTGGTTTATTGCAGGCTTTGGCCAGACTGTCATGTGCTTTTAAAACAGAGAATCAGACTCGCATGGTGGTTTGTGACCTGGGCAACCCCATGAAAGCAGGAACTAAGGTAAGGTCTGGTCCAACAGGTGCCTGATAGCTCACCCAGGGGGCATTTTCCTTAATCACAGCAGTGTTTGGGTAGGAAATTTTCTCCCAGGAATTTAAGATTACACCTGGCATTAGCTGCCCACATTTGGTTCGTACAGCAGTAGTTGGTTTTAACTTTTCAGCTAAATTAAAGGCTGGAAGGAGTGCTTTATGTTTTATGATGTAACTCAAAAGGAGTCATTCATTAAATAGTGGAATTAATGGACTTTGGTCTCTCATGAATTTTTTATATTTATCCGACATGTACTTTTAGGATATAATCACGAGCTAGCTCACAACAATTTTTCTCATAGTTCATCTCCTTTCTGCCTACTTTCATGAGGAAGGACAGAGTTTTGCCTAGTTGAAACCTGTACAATTCCACCAAATGTAGCTGAAATTGGAAGAATTAAAAAAATTATTAGTGAGACATTTTAAGGTGATATTACATAGTAAGTCTTATTTCCTGAGGAAATGAAGTGAAAATCAGTCACAATTATAACAATTTCATGATGCTTTTCTTTCAAGAGCCATCTTGTACAGATGTGTAAATACTCTTTCCAAAATCTTTTGAAGTGCATCAAGCTGAACTGCACAGATATTAAAGCAAATATGAATTGACTTAGACTAAACCTTGGGAATTAACTTTGAATCATTAATGTGTTCCTACTCTTTAGATTAGAATATTTTTTGCAGCACATGGGGAGGATCAATTTTGTGTAGAAATGGCTGAATTAAGGGTGGTGAGCAAGATGCAATCCTTATTTTGTATTTTATGGCTGTAATCTAAAGAGAGAGCAGTACATTTCCAACCAGGATGAACTGCACAACTGGAATTTGCCAGTTCCGTGTGTGTGTTCTCTCATCACCAGGAGTCTCAAGCCATTTCACTGTAGTCTAATAGCACTGAGAAGCTTTTAAGGTGTGTTTTATTGTGCTTCCAACTGAACCACAGTGGTTTTTTCCCCCCAGCTCCTGGCTGGCCTGCGTTTCAGCGTGCACCAGCAGTCTGAGATGGACACCTCTGTCAAGTTCGACTTGCAGATCCGGAGGTATGGAAATCCCTGAGGATGAACCTCCCCTGGGAGAGGACACACACAGCAAACAGACTGCAAACCACTATCACACTGGCCTAGCTCTCTTGTCTTTGCCTTGTAATGGCTTGAAAAATAACCACACTGAGTTAGGTTTCCTAAAATACAGGAAAAATCAGGAATATTTGTACGTGTGTATCATTGTGCTCTGCTGACACTTGTGGTGCCACTGAATGACTTTGGGTTTGCAGCCCTCTTTTAAAAGTGGTGCTTGAACTCTGAATTCCTTCTGAATTTTATGTATTTAGAGGAGGAGAGACTTTCAGGGCAGGCAGTATATGGGATAGTCAGAGCAGAAGTAACATGCAATGAACCATCACAGCAGCCAGCCTAAAAGAAAATTAATGGAACAGAATTAAATTAATTAATTAAATTCCTGAAAATTAAATGGAACAAAACAGTAGTTTTCCTGTTAATTATCAGATTAGCACTGTCATATAAATCTGATATATAAATCTGAATTGGTAACTTCTGCAGATGATATTGAAGGTTGGAGATGTGATCATTAGGACTATCTTTAGCCAAAGCAGTTTTATGTTGTTTTTAATGGACAGTATGAATACACCTGTTTTGTTCTTCTCCATGGTGGACCAAAATTACCTTCTTTTCCCATTTAAGTGCTTTATTTTTTTAATGTAGTGAATAAATTAATCTCATCCACCTATGCATCTGTCATCCATGGGAGTTGGGAAAGATTGAAGCTGCCATTCTATTTTAATGATGGAGTGTTTAGCCACACCAACCAATGGTCTTGGCACATGAAATATCTCTTTGATCTCCCATTGCTGTCTGTTGAGTTTTCCCTTCTCCATCAGCTGGGGAGGTGTTCTTTGCGAAGAAATCTGCTCTGGGGTGTCTGTCCCCTTCCTTAGGCTGCCAGCAGGGTCAGAAACAGTCAGGGAGGCTGCTCAAGCCATGCTGGTCTCCTGATGGAAGAGAAAGGAGGTTCCTGTAGTGTTTCAGGCCTTTTGTGGGAGGAAATTCCCTCAGTGACTCCTGGATGCAGGAAGGGTGAGCAGAGGTGCCATGGGACAGAGTAATCACAGTTCCCAGTGACAGGCATCAGCAGGGATTATCTGGGACAGCTTTTAGGGATCACACTGCTTGGCTTAAACTCACCAAGCTGGATCTGCAGTGCTGGCTCAGTTCCTGGCAGAGCAGGTCCAGTCTCTAAAAAAAAGAATGAGGTATTTACAGATCAGGAGGAAAACACTGCTGCAGGTGTTTGCTGATTACAGCAGCACTGAAGAAAGATCAGAAGATTCAGGATTCTTTGCAAAGGAAAATGTTTGTTTAAGGGGACAGAATAATTGGAGGAGATCAAGATTCTGCTCCCAGCACCATTTTGAGGGGGGAGTGTTCCCTGTATTTTTTTACATGAGAGCTGTAGGACAGAGTCAGCATTAACTCTGTGTCCTTCACCATCCTCTCCCTGCTGGGGCTCCATGCATTTAGGTGAGAACTTGCTGGAATCTGGTCGTTAGTTTTTAGCAACTGTGCTTTCCTGTAGGGGCTCATACCATTACTTTGAAGTGTGGAGGGTTTTTTAATTAAATGCTTTGCTTATTTCATTTAAGAATTTACCTTTTTTTTCCCCTGCAGTTCCAACCTGTATGACAACCTGAGCCCAGTAGCATATTATCAGGCTGACCTTGCTATTTCAGCAGCTGTTGAAATTAGAGGGTAAGTGTATTTTAATACACACTTTTAAGTATATTTTAATAAACACTTTTAAGGAGCTCTTGCACATCTGCTTCTCTGTATTCACTGAACTTCCTTTCAGGTCTGCATAAGTTTTCCAAGAAGTTTTAGGGAATTTTTAATCATAAAGACAATATCTAGCCAGCCTTTGGACTTTTGGATCTTAAATAATTCTAAATCATTACATAGTTTATTCCAGAAAGGAGTATTGTGCCTCCATTACTAGAGATATTTTTTAGAAGAAGAAAAAATCACCCCTCTTGTTTGCAGCTTTACATTTCTGCAGGTCACTTTTCTCCTCCACAAACTGACTGGCGTTTCAGAAAACCCTGAAATCAAAGTTGAAGATTCTATGGAATTTAAGTTTGTAATATCCTCACCTTCAGGCTTAAGCATAGTATTAATATTGTAATGACTTGGTTACTTCATCACCTTTACTTCCCACCTAAAAATCCTCTTCCTTAACCAGTTAGCTTGGATTCCTGAGTCATAATTTTTAAAATTTTCCACGGCGTTCATTATTGTGACCAATTTGCTCAGTATCTGAGAGGTGAGGGATGGCACACTGGAAAAGCATGATTGGTATCTTCACTGCTTTCAGGGCTGAATTATTGTTAGGATTGTACTGCTGAGGCTCTACATCATCAATATTTCTCATTATCACAATACTTCACACTGGTTTTGTTTGGATGAGGTGTGTGTCCTTTATGTTTTTTTTAATTTAAAGAACAGAACTGAACATTTAATATTCAACCACTTCTGTTCTTTCAGGTTTTATATAGAGGATGAAGGAGTGGAGATTGCATTTTAAGCATGTTCATTTTTTCCTTTAGATGTCCTAGAGAATCCCATTTATTTTTTCATGCTTGCTAACAACACCTCCTTTGCTCTGCTCTTTAGTGTCTCATCCCCTGACCACATATTCCTTCCCATTGCAAACTGGCAGCCCAAGGAGAACCCTGAAACAGAAGATGACATTGGGCCTCTGGTTCAGCACATCTACGAGGTGTGGAATTACTGCTGATTTCTGTGACATGGTTCTGTGATAAATGAAAAGAAATCTTTTGGTGTAGCTTTTCTCTGGAGTAGATTATGATTTTTTTTCTTTTTTTCTTTTGTTTTTTTAATAAAAATAAAATATTTTTTTTTTTAGTAACTGGTATATCCAAGAAGGGTTGGAATGCCTGCAATTAGTGCAACTGGGCTTGATTACCTACATAACTACACATATTTTATTTTATTGCCTTTTGACATCTAGATAAAACATTTGAAGTAATATGAGCTCAGGAAATGGCTCATGGCTGTAAATTATTGCACTCTATCTGTTCTGAATCACTACTCCGAAGTCTTTAGCTGTGAAAAAATTTAAGTATTTAAAATATCCTTTTAAGAATTATCACAGATTTAATCTAGATTGTTTAATTAAGCAAAACTTACCAAGAGAACTGTGTGAATAATAATAGTTAAAAGTTTTACTACTTTTAGATGAAGTTTTGATGCTGTTGCCATAAGTGGCTGGGGGGTAGGGATAGTGGCAGTATCACATTTGTGGCTCAAATATAAAGTAACAATTATATGCGCATTAACAGACAGAGTAGCTTTATTTATTTACATCTGTAAATTTTATTTTCATAATCAGCTGAGAAACAATGGTCCAAGTGCATTCAGCAAGGTGATGATGACTCTGCAGTGGCCTTACAAATACAAAAACAACACGCTCTTGTACATTGTGCAGTATGAAATTGATGGTCCCATGAACTGCACTTCTGACATGGAAATCAACCCACTGAAAATTAAGGTAAGCAGGACTTTCCCTTTGAGTGGAATGAAGTTTGCTTGGTTGTTTTGTGAGTTCTCAAAATAGCCAAATCCCTGAGAATATGACAAACTGAGATAGTTTTTTATCTATGGCTGATGAATAAGTCTACACTTTTCCACACTACCTGTCAATGTATGCAGCAGGTGAAATAAAATGTGAACAGCAGCTCAAAATTATCAACTTAAAGATCAATTTGTCTTGTTTCTTTGTATTATGGGGTTTTCTTCCTGTTTTTTGTTGGTTTTTTTTTTTAATTCAAGGCTGTTCTATATGAGTTTTAAGTCCAAAGCAATAGAATTATAATGAAAGTGGTCATGAACTAAAACCTAAAACAAACCAGATGCTTCTGGACTCTTTATGTAAATTTTCTGGGTTTTGTTTCTTGGAAGAAAATGGTATTTTTTTAATATTAAGTTATCTATTTATCCAATTGGACAAATTCATCCAATTTGAATGAATTCATCCAACTGGATAAAGAGATAATAGATAATAATAGATTCATCCAATTTGGATGAATTTATCTATTCATCCAAAGGTCAGAAAGGACAACAGGGTTCAGCTATCATTGCCAGCAAAACACGGGATTTACAGAACAGAAGAAACTCCTTTTTTTCTGGACTAGGAAAAGAAACACCAGATAGAACCCAGCAAGTTTAATTGAGTGTAATTGATTTCTAGGATAGTTTAGAACAAGCAATTCTTGTTCTAAAAAAGTCAGAGTGTTAGTTCAAGAAGAAGTCAGTGTGTTAGTTCAGGAAAATGTCAGTGTGTTAGTTCAAGAGCAAAAAAAAAGGGGCTGAGGGAAGATATTCAGTGTATAGAACAACAAAGAATGCTTGTGTAACTTTGATAACCAAAGAGAAACTTCAGCGAATATATAAATACGAATTTCCTGTGCTTCTGCTTTATGAGTTGCGATGATTTATTTTCAGACGGAATCTGAAGAATAGCAAGCATAGAAAGAAACTTGCGGTTAGGTATTTTCTTGGCCTTCAGCTTGAAGCCTGCAATGTGCTGAGCCGCTGTTTGTGCTCCCTTGGTGCGTGTAGGTTTCTGCTCCCAAGGAAGACGAGAGGAACGAGACCCTTGGCAGGGAGGAGCAGCGCGGGCACCGCGTCAGCCGGAGGGNTGCACACCCTGGTGAGTGAGTGAGCTCCCAGCTCTGGGCTGCTGCCAGCACTCCTGGCCTGCCAGGAGTCCTCAAAAACACATGCAAGGAAGATTTTTCCTCCCTAAACATGATGGGAGAAAAATCTCTAATGGAAAATTAACATATTACCATATCGCTGCCTTTGTAACTGCAAGCTATAAATAATTATCCAATACTGGAGGTTATTTAATTTATCTTAATACTTTGTGATGCTTTCCCAATGTATATATATATGGGTAAAGTAGTGCCATTAAGCACCTTTCAAATATTTTCATACTTAGAACACCCTTCCTATTTTTATACACAGGGCTGTGGAACTGCTGACTGTTTAAAGATTGTCTGCCAAGTTGGCCACCTGGAGAGGGGAAAGAGTGCAATATTGTATTTAAAATCACGCCTTTGGACCCAAACTTTCATGAATGTGAGTGACTGGGAATATTCTGTCGCTGTTTCTGAAACCTTTATAGTGATTTTTGTACCCACATGCAGTGCTAATTTTGTTTTTCTTACACAGAAAGAAAATCAGAATCATTCCTACTCTCTGAAATCATCTGCTTCCTTCAGTGTTATAGAGTTCCCTTATAAGAACCTTTCCTTTGAAGATATTCACAATTCTACAGTTGTAAGTCATTTGCATCCATATACAATCACTTCAAAATTAGTGCAAAGAGAGTTATTGTTGAGTAACACTGTTATGACTTGATATAATTTTAATTTTATCAGCTATTTGTTTCATGTATTTATTTCAGTTGTGCACATACAGCTGAGGGTAAGACAGACTGGAGCTGACAATATTTGTGGCTTGAAAGACAATTGAAAATGAAAAAAATTATGGGGAACAGTTCTCATGTTCCTGTTAATGCCATTGTTGTTAGAGAAATATTTTACTTGAAATTTGTTGCAAATTTTAGTAGCACTTACAGGTTGAATAATGAGCTTTTCATTCATGTTATATGAGGCACTGTATATGAACTTTATATATGAGGGTGGAACAAAAAGACCTTCTGTGCCTCAGGGGGTTTCAAAGGGAAAGGAGACAGGTGCAAACAGAAAGGAAGATATATTTGGGCTGGCAAATTGAAAGTTTTTTAGCATTATAGCATTAAGAGATCTTAAGGAAAAGGTAGAAAATGATTGTGATTAACTCATTTTTGGATATGGTTTCTAATGCCTGTTATTAGCTGAGGTTTTCTTCTTTCAAGCCTTATGGACTTGATTTTTTGTTTCAAAGTATACTGCCTTTTAAGAAAAAAAAAAAAAAAAGGAAAAGCCCTTAAATATATTTCTTTAATTCCAAAATATTTCCAGATTCCTATAGTTTTACTGAAAATCATCAAGAATTACAGAAGACATGTTGCCATGTTACCACTGATTGCAAAAAAGCAAACCCAGGCAAAACAATCCCCAACCCCCTACTATAATTTAACTTTAAAATCCTATTAAATTTGGGTCAGTGAAGTCTTTATGTCACCAAGAACCTATGGCTTTCCATTCATTCTGGAGAGAAAAAGTAATTTATACTGGATTAAGATCATAATTATGATAGGATAAAGGTATACAAGATTGAAAATGCATGGATGAACTCAGCATGTCACTGTGATGCAAAATGTGATTTATTGTGTTTTTCTGTCAGGTTGCTACAAATATCACATGGGGCATTCAGCCCCAGCCCATGCCTGTGCCAGTGTGGGTTATCATTCTGGCTGTGCTAGCAGGGTTACTGCTCCTGGCTGTTCTAGTGTTTGTCATGTACAGGGTAAGTCCTGTGTCTGGGGGGTATTGTGTCATTTGCTTTTCCCTGCTAGTGATGTATTCATAGAGTAACAGCACTTTGCAGAAATGCCTTGCTCCCCATATCATCTGAATCTGCTAAGCTTTTGGAATAACTGTAAAAACTTTTCAGCTTTGTCAGGAAGAAGCTGAATAGAAGAGCGTGTCTGTGATGGTGCTGAACTCAGTTTTAGTTTTTTAATATATTAAAAATATTTACTGTCTTTGGAGGTCAAAAATGGGGGAAGAGAGTGAAAAGACAGCTTAATCAGTTAAGACCTGATGATGAAGGAAAGGGAAAGGATATGTGTTTGTTCTGCAAGTCACAATGCAATTTCTTCTTTGTTCTCTGAATCACAGATGGGTTTTTTCAAACGTGTGAGGCCACCTCAGGAAGAGCAAGAAAGAGAGCAGCTGCAACCACATGAGAACGGGGAGGGAACATCAGAAGCTTAAGCAGAGTTTTATCTGTAAGACATTCTGAAGTGTACACTTGCCTACATCCTGGTTACAAATATTGGCTTCCCCCTTCATGAGCAAACACTCAGCACTGCAGAGCTGCTGGTCTCTGATGTGCAAAGCAAGGGCAAAACACTTAAACCCCTCTCCTGCATTAATGCTGTTCCTGCCTGCCACTAACACACCTGCACTGACCCCAGGGACAAACTCCAGTGACAGCAGTGCTGGGATTCTGCTTGCTGGGACACAGGACACATCATCTTTTCTGGTCCATGCACTGACTCTCCATGAATTGCTACCCAGATTCTGCAGTTGCCCTTGGAGCCAGCAGCCTCCAGAGGTGCTGGCTGGATTCCATGGTTGGTTTTGGTTGGAGTACACTACATTTCATTGCCTAGCTCTTGAAAGTCAGTTGCACAAAAAAAACAAAGATGAATGTAGCTTGTTTTACAGTACTGAAGATTGTTCTTTACCCATTAGCTCTGATGATGACTTTTTTCTCCTGCTCAAGAGATAGGAAATATTCAGTGGAATCATTCACAGCTGATAGGTATCTCAGTTCTGCACACCAGTCATCTGTCTTGCGGTTTCTCTCTAGACCTTACAAACACTGTTCTCCAGGTTTTGGGGCTCTTACTGTAGGGATTGAGCCTGCAAGCACCAAGTGAGGGACAGAAATCTGGGGCTGATGTACTTTCTGTGGGACATGAGGAAAATATTCAGGGCAAGATCCCAAGACTCTGCTGTGTATTTCCACAGTGCAGGATCCAGGTGTTCCACAGAGTTCTTGGAACCATGGATGCATTCATGCCCTGCCAGGGACAAGATGCTGGGCTGTGGCTGCCAACAGACATGTCTGAGAAAACCCTTGGTGCCCGCAAGTCAAACCTGTGCAGGGTTTGAAGGCTGTAAATTACTTGGATTGTGTTTTGGTTTCTGGCAGGGCACTGTGTGGCACAGGTTACCTGGTGCACTGCAGGGAAGATGTCAATCCTCACTTTTCCTGGTTGCCCATGCCCAGGTGCAGGATGGAGTGGCACAGGGGCTGTTCACACCAGGCTCTCTGCCAGCCACATCCATGGATCTGGATTACACCTGCACTTCAGCCACTCTCACACCTCCCTCACCTCCTGCCCCCAGAGAACAGTGAGTCCAGTGAAGCAGGGGAGAGCTGGCAGTGCACAAGGGTTCAAAAACCTTAAGGCTGATTTGGCTTGTTTCATTTCACTCATTCATTGTTCCATGGGCTTGTTTCCTTGGATTCATTCATTGTTTCAGTCCCTGCATGTTTCATTGCACAAGACATTTCATTGCACAAGACATTTCATTATGTTCAATGCATTTCATTGCCAGAAAAGACACTAAGTATTTGGATCCATTGCTGGTTTTTGAACATACCAAAAGGTCAGTGGTTTAAAGCCATGGGTTTGCATCACTCTCAGCTTATTTCCCTCACCAATGGTGTAGTGAAAGGGAACTTCTTACACTGACTGAGACAAGAGCATTGTGTCTGCATTTCAGCAGACAAGGAACTGCAGAGCAGGAGGTTGTTCAGCTCGCAGCCACAGGTTGCACAGATCGTACAATGGACATACCTGAACCATTACTAAGGTGCCTTCTATGAGGTGTGTTTATTCTCTTTCCCAAAAAGAGAATAAATTACACTATAAATTATAAATTACATGACACTCCCTGTGTGCAGCCAGGCACACAAAGGAAAACTTCTACTGTTCTTACACCAGTGAGATTTCTATGTAGACAAGCTCTTGAAAGGGCAAAAACTCTGGTTTGGTTTTGTACCTTGAGGTTTTTGTTCATAGCTGCATCTCCCCCATAAATACAGCAGTGCTCACTAAAGCCAGAACTTTCTGAAATGAGCAGTTTGTTTCAACTCTGGTTTCTGCTTCCTTTCAGGGGTTGAAAATCCACCAATGGCTTTTGTTAAATCCATTTTTACTTGCTGATCCATGATGGCATCTGAGAGCACTGAGTCTGGGGGGGCCAGTATGTTCACCAGATATAGGCTTCCATATTTATCCATGTACATGGGTTGGGTTTAGACAGTTTGTTTAGATAAAATTAGTTCACATGAAAGGGTGTAGGGCATGATTCTGCTTTCACTGAACTTTCAAGGTCTTCAGTGTGGCTAATATCTTATTTTTGTCTGTATTTTTAGTATTGTTACTAGTAATGTAGTAGAGAGCCAGGAGTCAGGCTTTGATCCTGGCCTCAAAATGTGACTTTGGTAGAGCAGCATTATTTTCAGTTTCTTCCATGGGCTTGTGGTTCGCATGCTTTGTCAGCTGATTATCTGTGTGCAAGGAGCTTGGTTTTACTCAGTCTTAATCTCAGTAGGGTAAGAGGTTTAAGAGCCTGCCAGACAGATTATAGCTCTAATTCCTCCGTGTGTGCTTTCATTACATGTACACTCCATGGTGACTTGAAATTTATTAGACTACTTGCATGTGTAGGCTTTGTTAGGAGGTGAAAAAGAGTATTTAAATAAAAATCATGGTCAAGATCCCTCCTGCTCACATGGATGGGATACCATAGCATTGCTAATGTCAGTGCTAACTGCATCCTAATTTTACTGGAAACTCTCTTTATGCTGATTTTCAGGATAAGAAGGTACATTTTATTGGTACAACTGCTGTAGCTGTAGAAAGTATCTTCCATTTTTGAAGTTACATAAAGTAAGACTTATTTAAGTGATTTTTTTATTTCTTGCCTTCTGCTGAAGGATGAAAACAAATAGTTGCTTCTTTCATGTCCATTAATTTCCAGTTAGGTTCAAAAGACCACATTAGCATATGTAAATGGAGTATACAGGTTACTTAGCATAGATGTAACACCTCAAATTCAACTTAAAGTAGCATTTGTGTTTCAGGGAGATTCCAAACTGGAAATTTTCCTGAATGGGGGTGCAGGAAACTTTTGATAGTGTGTTCTAGATTCAGCAATAAGAGTCCAGATTATGTATGTACTTGTGTCAATATAAATTTTATACTGGTTTAGAGGCATTGATGTATTCTTACAGCAAGTACTGTAGAAGGATGTTAAAGATTTTTAAGAAACTTTAGAAAAGGTATTTTAGAATGAAATTAATGCCTTTGAGTCAAAATTTGTATGCACATGGTGCATACTGGAAGCATTTAAAAAATACAAGTACAGTAACAGAGAATTAACCTTCTTTTGAGAGCTATGTTTCAGGAGCAGATTTTTTATAAATATAAAATCAACAGCTATGTAATTATTTAGACAATAAGAACATTTTAAAAGAGCTATATCTTTTATAATGAAATATGAATTATCTAAATACTCCAGTTTGCAATTAATGCAGCATCTCATGATCAATACTGAAAAGTGATTTATATTACAGAATGCATATTATCTATTACTATAGTTGACAATATTTAGAAAATGTAAAGCAAGGAACCTAATTTATAGGTTTACATTTCTTTCAAGAAACTATGAAATTGTGGAAATAGCTTTTGTTTAAGCATGACTGTAAAGTCAAATATGGCTATATTTATCAACATAATTTGAAATCTTTGAGTAAGTTTGCCAAGTTATCAGGGTTTTTTCTGTTTTAAATCTTGATCTACACATTGATCTCCAATTCACATAATGCTTGTGGCAACTTTCTAAAGTTTCCTACGTGCGCTCTTTCTTTATAAAACATTTATTCCAAGCAAAGGTATCAAATATTTAGTTGTTTCTAAACTTGAGTCCATGCTTAAATAGTCTTAAATGGTATATTGAAAATATTTCAGCTATGATCAGCATGCCTTTGGTGATTTGAAGGAATCATGCTGCACTTAGATTTTTGCAGCATTTGGGTTTGTTGTTGGTTACCCTGACAGAATCCTGGAGTATTTTATCCTCCACTCTCCCGGACAGTCTCAGAGCAGCATTACACTGGTTTTTGGTTAGTCTGGACCAAAGAGAAAAAAACAGGTTTTGTCTTTGGTCCAGCCTAACGTGACCCTTTGAACGTGATTCTTTGTGTCCAGTGCTGCTGGCTGATAATGATTTGGGAAAAAAATAAAAAATTATTACAGAAAAACAGGACTCTGAAAAATAAAAAGGGTGATGGCAGGGCCCAGAGGAGATGATTTTGGTTTTGTTCCTGAGGCGTGCAGAGCTCTGTTGGCAGTGGCCCCTGTCACAGGCAGATGCCACAGCTGGGATCATGGTTATTGCTGAGTTCTGTGACTCCTGTGGGATCTGGACTCCTTGGATGGGGTCGTGGTTATTGCTGAGCTCTGTGGCATCTGGACTCCGTGGTACTGCGTTTTCAGTCTCCAGCCCCCAGGTGCAATATGCCATGGTCCGGCCTGGCTCACTGCCAGGCCTCTGCCCACTTTTGCTGGCCTAAGAAGGGCCGTGGTATTTCCTTCTTTGTGGTGTTTCCTTTTTTTTTTTTTTTTGTGAGGACCTTGCAGAGGCAGCGTGCTCACTGGAGGTGATGGATTAATTAATTAATTAATGATGCTGTTGGAAGCCTTTGATCACCCACATTGGGTGAAGCTTGGTGTATATTCTAAAGTGTGTCCACTACTAACCCGTGAGTGCTTCAGAACTGGGACCACCTTCTTTAAGGCCACGGTGGAAAATTTGACTAAAGACTACAGAATAACGGGGTTGAGTCTGTAGTACTACTGCTTTTTCATGTGGTTGTGGTATTTAGGTCTGTTTTTTCCCAATGTGTAGAATTTTAACACAGCACAGGAAATCTAACCTTTCATGCAATGGCTTTCTCCAGATATGCTGCATTAAAGGTGAATAACCTGACCCTTGGCTTTTGCAAAGTAATGGAAGATTTCATGTAGCATTTTGCATCTTAAAAAAATCCTCGTACAGGTTTTGCTTTTCTAGTCCATGAAGGAAACCTGTATTTGCTATGATACAAATATGCTGAAAATGTAACATTTTCTTTCTTCATAATGGATTTTTTTGCCTTTTTTTTGTGTTTGCTTGTGCATTAAATCAGTAGAGCATTATTTGCACAAGCAGAAAATTAACATACTAATGAGAGTGCTGCATTTTATGTTTCTTTGTCATGCAGTAAATACTTGCAGGATAAATGGGAATATTTTCAGTTACTATGAACTTGTTTCAAAGGTCTTCGGTACATTTAAGGAGAGAAATATACATTTGAAGTCACCTTATTTTGTATTAAATTATAAATTGTGCAAAGGAGTGGGTGTTGTGGCACAGTAATTTTATACTGATATGAAATGTATAGCTATTAAAGCTATGGTTTGCTTTTTAACTCATTCTTTTCATCCTAATGCAAATTTGAGTGTTTTTATTAGGTTGTATTTTTCTATGTATATATATACAATTTCAAAATACTATGATTGGGTAAACTGAAAAATGTAATTATTGATTTGATTCTGATATTTAGAATTTTGGAATAAAATACCTCTTAATCAACAGAAATTCTGTTGTAGGCTTGTTTTTGTTTGGGTTTTCTTAGGTGTATTTTTAAAATGCATTTAATTCACCAGAAATATTTCATAATATATGTTTGTACTCCACAATTATGTGCTAAATTCAAAAACCTTACATTTACACAGCTTTTAGGTTCGCACCTCAAGTGGCACCTTGAGTCAAAAAATCTTGTAATCAAAGCAAGAAAAATGATCTAGTCACAAACTATATACTATCACCATAAAACTGATTTCCAGCAGAAATTTCTGCATGCCAGAAATAAATATTTTAGACTTTATAGGTGCCACATTGCTGTAGAAAATGGTGACATCTTGTCCTGAAGTTAGGAAAATTCTCAGAGAGGTGGAGTTTCTTTCCTTGTATTTTTATTCTCATTTAATCTCAGTGTTACATTTTTTCTGATTACCAGTCATATTCACCTTGTGTGAGTGGGGTGACAGCAATATTTTGTGTCACAACAAAGGCACACGTGAGTGTGTTTTACTGATAAAACAAACAGTGAAAAATAAATGTGATTGTGAACACTTCAGAAAAACTCCAAACTAGTGAGTTCCCTGGCTTGCTAGTAGAGAATTTGTTAACCTAAAGACAAGAGTAATAAAGGAGACAGAAAAGATGAAGATCTGATATTTGTGGTTAAATTAACAACTTCCACTGATGTCACAGTAGCTGTACCTGGTGTAAGAAACACAACAGCAACAAACATGTTTGTTAAAAGCCAAATGTGACTTTTAGCCTTTGTTCCACACACCTTGCAGCCAACACAGGCCTGTTAAATAATCCTGGTAAATAAGACACCTGCACTTGGATAGCAGCACAGGGATCACTGCATCTGCCTAGCAGCTCCAAATTAATACATTATTATTGAGAAATTAGTGACAACAAGCTGTATCATTACAGGAACAAGGCAACAGAATTTTTCAAATTCCCATTTTATGGTGCAGCCACCTGAGGTAAGATGGTGGCCCATGTACTGAGGTAATTTTCATTTACACCACTGCACTGGAGCTATGCTGCTGTACTTCCACTCTTTGCACACCTGAATGATACTTTACTATGCATTTTGATCATTAGTTGGTTTGTAAATTAATTGCTAATACATTAATTCTTTACTGCATATCAGTACATTAATATTTTTTAATCCCCGGTTCAGGCATTCTCAAGAACATGGTGAACAATTGGAAATAGTGTGAAAAGATATTTACAGGAACTTCTCAGCAATAGATTGTCTGATCTGCATAAAGAATTGAGGTTAGTGCTGTCAGCTGCCCATCTTCTCACAAGGTATTTTTCAATCTGTTCTACTGCATCTTCCTGATGAACTTCCTGAAAGTCTGAATTATTACCCCTTATGACAAACACACAGAATATGCTAAGACTAGGTTTGCAGGACACAGAACACACCTTGAAAATGTGATAAGAACATTGACACTAAAATACCCCATTGTAATTTACATTATTTGTAATTTTACATGCAGACCAGGCCTGTGTGGTACTGCATTTGAGAGTTTTGCAGAGTCCATACAGATTGACATTTCTGTGTCATTTGTGCACACACTTTCAGCCCTGGCAGAACAGCAGATGCCAAGTTCAGTGGTTGATGACAATGGCTGCAATTTGTTTGCAATTTGAATGTATAACAACCTTTAAAGACTGCAGGAGTTACTACTGGACACAATTCCTCAAGAGAATACTCAGGTAGTTGAAATAAATTACTACAGACCTTCATTTCTTCAAAGAAAATTTGTTCAAGAAGAAAATTTTGATTGTGTTTATATTTTTGCCTAAATTAATGTTATTATGTACCCTGATTTTTCCTAGTAATTTTTCTAAATGTAGTGCAGACAATTAATTTCCACATGTTATTCCCCATTTGGAGCAATTTTCAAGAAAGCTTTTATCATCCATTTAACAGATTTCTTTCCCCCTAGAACTTTATAAATGAATAATTGTGCATATTCATATCATCAACATTAATTTAAAATGTTCCAGCTGCCAAGCTGGTTCAACTATTCCTCTGCAAATAATTTATATCTTGCTAAAAGCTCACGTCTGCAAACATTTGGGAATGGATTTGTGATCTGCCACACCCTCAGTCACCAGACAAATTCCTGAAAAAAAGGAAGCCCAGAGCAGCAGCAGCAAGATTTCTGCAGGTCCCTTTTCCCACCTGGGACCACACAGAGTTGCAGGGAATCCAAAATTAATTCAGCTCCAAGAGTGGCTGTGCAGGAAGAGCCACTTTTCCTTCCCAGTGCCCACATAAAATGTTGAAATAGAAAGCTGGGTGAGAGGATGTTAATTAAGCAAATAGGCACTGAGCATGTCTGCTACACTAAAAGGAGATTTATTTTTTTTTATGAGCTCCTGGAGGAATTTCACATCAAATAAATTATTGTTTTATTTGTCTGGTTTTTGCGGTCCTTTGCTGCCTTTCAAGAAAGGTCCTATAAAATGAAATCAGGTTTTCATGGCAAAGGTTTTTTTGGTGCTGATTAAGAAAAAGAGATTGATAGATTGACAATAAATAACAGTATTGAGAAGTACCTGCTGAGGAGGATGTGCGTTTCCCCACTATCCTGCAAGCAGTGACTGCTCCAAAATGGTGCCAATGGACTATCAGCATCTGCAATAAAAGCAAATTGTATTTCCTGTGTCAATCCCAAATCTATTTCAAGTCATTGTTAATGGCAGTGAAGTAATTACATTGTACTGTGTAGAAAGATGTGGAGGCATAAGGAAAAATGTATTTTTATTAGATTTTATAAGAGATACATTGAAAATATGCACAGTAACCTGTCAGTTCTTCCTTTCAGTATGGGCAAATTTATATCCTGCTATAGTTTGTGACTCTATTCCTTCTGTTTCTCTTTCAATGAAGAAATTTTCTATCATCTGAAAACAACATGATTTGGCCTAGTATGTTATAGTGTCTAAAATAAACCTTTTATTTGACTGATCTTTGTTTGTTAAAAGGCAATTCAAGTAATTTTATACTTTCCAAAGAAGTTTCTATTCACCATTTCAACATCCAGTGAAGATTTAGTGTCAGCCTGTTCTCTAAGTGCTTACAGAGAATGGGATGTTGGTCTCCCTGGAATCCTGGCATGGGCAGGAGTGATCCCAGTGTGTGCTCAGCTCCCAGGGACACAGGTTGGGGTTGCCCCCCTGCTCTGGGGCACTTTGGTTTGTCTGGATGTACTCCCTTTCCTTGGGTTTTGGGTTTTTTTCCAGCCTTATCTGCTGTGAGCACTGCAGTGGTTTTCCATTACTCCAACCTGGGCTGTGTGGATACATCCAGCTCCCTCAGCCCCTCCTCATCAGGCATGTGTTCCAGTCACTGTGACAGCCTTGAAAATGACATTACACCTCCTAAAGCCTTGATCCTGCACACAGCCATCTCCCTGCCTCGTGTGCATGATTATTCCTATCAGCAGTCCCTGATATCCAACACTGCACCGATCAGCAGTACAGAGAACAAACATTCTTAGCTCTCCTGAATGTATTTTTTACAATTAAGGATGCACATTAGTAAAACTGGAATGTGTGTACATGTGTTTGTGAGGCCAGAGAAGGGGAAGGCTCTGGAGCACAAGTGAGATGAGGAGCAGCTGAGAGAGCCGGGCATGTTTATCCCAGAGAAAAGGCGGCCAAGGGGAGACCTCGCCGCTCCTGCAGCTCCCTGAAAGCAGCAGCAGCAGCAGCAGCCAGATGGGCTCAGGAGGAGAGGACACAGCCCTAAGCTGTGCCAGGGGAGGTTTAGGCAGAGTTTTTTCACAGAAAGGGTGATCGGACACCGGAACGGGCTGCCCGGAGAGGCGGTGGTGTCAGCATTCCTGCGGAGTCACCATCCCTGCGGGTGTTTCAGGACAGCCTGGAGGTGGCACTCAGCGCTTGACACGGTGCTCTTGGGCCACAGGGTGGACTCGGTGACCTCGAAGGCCTTTCCCAGCCCAGTGGATTCCGTGGTTCTGTGGATCTGTGAGTCACTGACACCGCGGCTGCCCCGCGGCAACAAGTGCGGGGGGCGATGAGAGGGGGGCGGCCTCAGAGCAGTGACACCCCGGGCACCTGGAGGAGAGAGGGGG